TATATATATATATTAAGGCCTCTTATTAAAATTTTGCTTTAGGCCTCTGATGAGGTTGGACCGCCCCTGACTCTAGCTAATGAGGTGTTGATTCCTTGTGCCCCATTAGTCATTTGAAAGTATATATTCATGGATGTGATCGGAGCTGTCATATCCAAGATCGGTAGCTATCAAAAATTATATCTAAAAAATAAAACAAACAACGTGTTGAGAGATAACATTAGTTTTATAGGATGAAATGTGGTTCAATCATTTGGGTATGCAGACTACAACAACAACGGCGACAACTCAGTGAAATCTCAGTAGTGGAGTTTGGGGGTAGTGTGTACGCAAACCTTACCCCTACCCCGAAAGATAAAGAGATTGTTTCCGATAAACCCTCGGCTGAAGAAGACGAAAAGAGACAGTACCATCAATAAACCATAGACATTTGGGTATGCAGACTATGTCCAAAAAACTTGTTTCGTCATGAATGACGGCAACTGCAAGCAGTCTTGGCTCTATTATACAGATCATGCTCTTTTATGGAAGGCTAATTTAGTATCTTGAATTATTTCATGGTTTGCCACGCAGAACCTTCAACCTAGGTAATGCAGCCTCATAATTAATATATTCAAACAACAACAATGATAACATACTCAATGTATTCCCACAAGTATCTTATATGAAGTAGGGTGGTTGTTTTCGATAGATCCATGACTCAAGAAAAACGTTTTCAAAACAGTTTTAAAAGATACAAGGAAAAAGTATTGACAACAAAATAGTAAAGATAACTACAATAAAAAAAATAATGGTAATAAATCCGAAAAATAAGATAATAATAGAATAATAACAATAATACTGATAAACGAGAAGAGGGAGCAGATAAGGTGCTCTAACCTAGAACCATATTCTCCCACAAAAAAAAAAAGAGAAATCGGCTGATTACCTACTAACCTTCTACCCTAATCCTCAACATCCATGCTATCCTATCTACATGTCATTGGTGAGCTGAAGATGTGTCATGTCATATCTAATCACCTCTCTCATTCTTGCTCGGTCTACCTCTACCTCTCCTTGGACCTATCACTGTCAACCTCCCGCACCTCCTCACTGGGACATTTGTGCTCCTCCTCTTCACATGTCCGAACTATCTCAACCTCGCTTCCCCCATCTTGTCTGTCGCGGAGGCAACTCCCACCTTATCTCGTATATCTTTGTTTCTAATTTTATCTTTCTTAGTATGCCCACACATTCATCTACGCATCCTTATTTCTGCTACTTTTATCTTCTGAAAATGTGAGTTCTTGACTGCTCAGCATAATTATTATATTCCTGGGCGGAAAAAAATGGGACAATTTTCCCACCTTCATGACCTTCCAAGCAAAAAGTCGTAACTTCAAAAGTAGATGCATTGCTCAGGCCGCCATTCTTGCACCAACAAACATTCAATGGCATACAATGACGAAGTCAGAAATTTTGCTAAAGATGCTCAAGATTTAATATATACGAATTTAGAAAGTAATATATGCCCTATATACACAGTCTAATTTTTCAGGCTAAAGATGTTCAACCAACCACCCTTGAGCATATGTGACTGCTACAAATGGCATAGAGTGATGCGCCAGTATAACCACGGAACTCACTCTGACAACAAACACTCATCTGCATGCTTAAAAGCTTAATCTTGTTCCCGAGTACAATCTCAAACCTAGAGTACAATTAAAACCTATTTCCTCTGAGATTGCTGGAAAAGCAATTAATGCAACATTTTGTGTATGATTTAGCATGAAAAATTAGCAAAAAGCATGGTTTACTACTACTAAGACAAGTTTTAACATGCATTTCACAGTAACAGAACCCTCAGGGTCACAGAACTTAGAAACGAAGAGAAAAGTGCAACACATAGTAGAGTCTTCTATCTATTATTTACATACTGCTGCAACAAGTTATTAAAACTGCAGTGAGAATTCTTGTAAGAATTCTTTTATTCTCAAAAGCAGACTGGAAATAGAATTCAAACATATCTTAAAGTTTTTCTAGTGCTCAGACCATTTCATCATCACTAATCTCACTCTTGAATCTCGATGCTTTGTTGCGCTCCTGACCCCAGCATAATTTTACAGATTGGACATGAAGCATTCACTGCGAGCCACGGGTTAATGCATCTGCTATGAAACTGCCAAAAAAAATGCGGGTTAGAATTAGGGGAAGTGCTAAGATCAGAACTTGGAAACATTTGCCCTGCTGCTAGGAGACTAGTAGCCCAGTTTTCTCAATCACTGCATTTCTGGTAATTATTCAAGCACCAAAGACAAGGCAATGGTAATTACAGTCAATTCCACTGAGTTATTCATTCACAACCATTGACATAGAGCTTTAATTCAGATCAATCTCTGCCATAAGGTGATTTAGGAAAATGGAAGAATAAAATGTATTTCAGAGGCAAGGAAGAAAAAATCAGATAGAATAGGCAGAAACCTGATGTAAACATGGCAAGCTACGAACAAGGTCTCCCTTTATAACTTGCTCGAAACAAATATTACATGTCGATTCGTCACATGAGGGATCCTCCTCTGTTATACCTATCCTCCAATATCCCTGCTTCATTTGAAGATGGGAGTATATAAATAATCTTCATTTGAAAGGAAAACACACTGAAAATATTAAGAACAAATCTTATGTTTTAAGCAAGTGAACGAAGGACTTTGAAAAGCCAAGCACGGGAAGAAGCATAGCAAAGATTCATCTCATATGACCAGATAGGACAAGTATATCGTGAAGCTAGAAAAATTATACTGTTAGAATTCTCATTCACGGGCTGTAAACACATTTATCATGAGAGTTTTAGCTCTTTCCCCCTTCCCCCTCTTGAAACTTAATGAAATTCAGCTGGGGGAGAATTTCTTTTTATATCACTGCTTCTGGATTCGGATCATTATTCTGCTCAAGCAAATTTATAGTTATACAACAAAGAGAAGGCAACAAGCAGCTGAAAAAGAAAAAAAAACAATGGATATCTAAGCCCATAAGTGAAGATGTCACCAAGCAATAGAGCATTGTGGCATAACCCTTGAGCATCTGAAAGAAAGTACCTTAGCTGAGGCTGCAGAAAATGAACCTTGTTCCAGTGGTGCATCCTCACTGCAAAAAGACCAATATGGAATCGAATTACAACTGGTTCCTAACCAGTGTTTCGCTCTTACCACTAGACCAAATCTCCGGGGGCTAGGTTTAAGGTAATTTATAATAACTATAATAATAGAATGCGGGATTTTAAAAAAGTAAATGAAAGAGGATCATTACATTCTAACCAGTGATTAAAAAAGCGCTCGCTTCCTCGCTTTAAGCGAGAAGTGATGTGAAGCGACTCAGTGCCCGCTTCACATGGGTGAAGCGACTCAGGTATAAAAAAGCGACTGCTTCCCACTAAAAAGCGAGAAGCGACCAAGTGATGCGATGCGAACGAAGCGACCACTTCTTTGTTTTTAAAGAGACCCAGGCTATTTAATTAAAAACGAAGTTGTTCTGTCTTTTATTAAACGAACAACAGCGACTAGGGTTTTAAAGCAGTGCATCTGAGAGCATTAGACTAGGGTTCTTCTTCTTCTTCAACTTCATCTTCAAGTCTTCAACAGCANGCGAAATTTTTTTTTACCTTCGGTTCTTTCTCAGAATTGATGCCAATCCTTGGGTTCTTCTTTCTCTGCCCAGTTTTTAACAGAGAAAAACTGCCCTTCCTCTAATTTTTATATCCTTTACATTGAAGTATTGAACATTTGCTTACAATTACATGTGTTGTCTATGCAGTATTTATTTTAAATTTTTTTTTTAAAATTCCGCTTCACTTCAAAAAAGCGAGCGCTTCGCTTCTCGCTAAGCGAAATGGGGGTTGTCTCTTTTCCTCGCTTCACGCTCTTCACAACACTGATTCTAACAATTATGCAATTCAGCATACGAACTAGTATTTGTTTTTTTTTCTATTTGGATAACCGATAAGTCCCCTGTGAGTTAACTGGCCAAACCATGGTCCACGGATGTCAAACTCGGGGGAGTATCAGCCCACCCTCAGTCATGTTCCCACTTAAATACCAAGCTTCCTATTAATGACATGGGTTTGAACTTGTGACGTGTGCTCAATCCACAGATCCCAAGCTGTGTCCTTATCACTGAGTCGGAATCCAAACAGGAGGAATATGACGTACTTCAACATTATTCGAGTTCATACTTAGTCTCCAAATTTCCATAATTTTAAATTTGATCCTGACTAGGTCAAACCAAAATAAGCTTACCATGTAATAACACTTCAACTGGACCAAGAACACAAATAAAAGAAAAGTAATTCATTTAACTATGTCTTTTTGCCAAAAACATTTTTTACCAAAAGTAAATATTAGACTGTTAGTTTCCATAATCACTTATAGTAACTAGCACTTCCCCACTATTTCCAAGTGATGACAGGCTTGGGACACACCCGCAAGTATTGACATATAATGCATGCTATTAAGACATCCAAATGACCAAAATATTTCCTTGTGACTCTAGAGTGGTAAAAGTTAAATCCCACTTGTGGACTAAACCGTGGTCGACAGAGAATAGGATGCACAAAGACATGAGGATTCAATAAGGATTAACCTAGTTCGGAATGAAGCATCTACAGCTAAGGCCAAGGATCGGCCAATGGCAGCAATGCTATGTGTCTCTGCCTCCACCGATAAACGGCAACGCACATGCTGGCCTCAACCAAAGGACCTTGGTCAAAATAGCACCAAGCAAAGGAATGCCACAGAAGACTACAGATCACATTGTAGTGCCAAACACAGTTGAAAAGACAAATTTGCATCCAAGCAATAGCTCTCCATCAATTTCTTTTCCCACCCTTGCTTGCTATGAAGAAAATACCAAAAAGAAAATGAAGGAAAAGAAAATATAGAATTGCAACTCACTCATCCCATGTCATTACATATTTTCAATATTATCCATTCTGTCACTAGCTAGTTCTATCAATTTAAATCACAGGCTACCTTCAGTTGTTCAATCATCATTCTTTAGGTGCACAAGAATGCCAGAAAATCGAAGGCTTGAAAGGAAAAAGCATGAACTTAGAATGCTTGTAACTTACCTCTCTAGACCAATGCCTTTGTAATTGTGAACAGGTAAGGCATTTATCTCTTCTTCATTCATGGAAGGAATTCCAAAAACACTAGCAGAAGGCAACTCACTTAAGGTTAAGTTTTCTACACATGGAAACAACCATATAATAAGAAAAGAGATCATTTTTAGTTGCTTGAAAGAATCTTCAAAGGTCAGTCTATGATACTGATCCCAAGGACATATAGACAGCAAAAGTATTGCTATGAAAAGTTTTAACAGATAAGCATAGCAAACATACCAAACTCAACAAGTTCACGGTCTAGAAGAGCAACTTGGAGCCTCAGCTCTTGCAATCTTCTTCTGGTCGGAAAAGCTTCTGATGAAGGCACATACTGATGGAGTGTATCGCAACCAATCAAGTGGTTAACGGATGTGCTACCTGTTCTGCCTCGAGCTTGGCGTGTTGAACAAATTTCATATATCATAGCAAATGCTATTATCATGATTACATGCACAAAAACGCAGCCCTGGACGTGAAAATTAACATTATCTCAAAATACGCCACCAAGAAAGCTTAAAATCAATCAATAGAAATGCTCACGAATATTCAGCTTAGGTATTAGGACAGAAGTTACCATGAAGACCATTGACGTGTCATCAGCGGGGCTTAAAGTGTATAGGAAAAGAACTGCCAAACAGTTTAATGGATGGCTAATTAGTAGACAGAAATCACAGAACAAATTTGCAAGAAAAGAATCAAAAAGATGACACAGAAACTTTACCTAGGATAGCCAGAACGATGCAGGCCGTTTTTGTTGGACTCGTAAAAAATTTATGCTGGTAAGGAAAAAAGTTCCAGTGTCAAGACAAGACTAGATTAAGTACTAGTAAGTCTCTCTTGGCCTTTATACAAGTACAAAGAACAACTACTCTGGTGTACCCGAAAAGGATCACCATTCTGGAAAACATGCAAGATAAGAATAATACAAGTAGTACCACAGCCACTAAGGACGCACTGCAACACATCTTGCACTCATGGCTGCATGAATTTCACTGCTTGATTCAAAGTAGACAAATGGCAAATGCACAGAAACATCAACAACAACATACCAGTGTAATCCCACAAGTAGGTTTTAGGGAGGGCAGTGTGTATTGTGTACGCAGACTTTACGCCTACCTTGTGTGAGGTAGAGAGGTTGTTTCCGACAGACCCTCGGCTCAAAGGAATGCACAGAAACATACCAGTGCTTAATTTAAGATGTCAAAACTATTGTGGAGCTAAAAGGAAGCACTTGATAAAGATGAGTGCAAGTCAAAACAAAGAATACTAATATTCACTGTCATAACTTCTAGAAGAGATGAATGGTGAGTTGTAATTTTACTAATTCTGAAAATTATGATTACCATTGTCGAGATAATATTTGTTGCTTGCTACTTCCCAAAATTGCCAAGATCTGTCGAGGCTTCAGGAAAGCCTTACAATGAGACTCCTCACGTCCTTTAAGAGCGAAGATGTCTGTGGATTCAAACTGCAAGATTGTTAGCCCATATGAAGCTCCCTCTCACTACCCCCTTTTCTCAAAAGCAAGCATGATCATCCCGACCTCAGTTGGTATTTCACAAAAAGGTAGATCAGATCTTTAAACATTGAGATAAGTATTTGCACATGAGTAAAGATAAAATAAGACAGAAGTGAAGAGGACCTTTCAGTTAAACCAGCTAACTAATTCAATTTGGGGCCTTGTTCTTCCTAGTGCTGCCCTTATCTAATTGACCGTCCCATTTTGAGAAAATCAGAAAGTTCAAGTCCTTTATAGCATATTACACAATAATTGCATCAGAAGCTATTAATAATAAGGTTGCTTGATCTGCCTTTGCTATAATAATAACGTTTGCAGATTATACCAGAATGATTTCATATTCAAGCACAGAAGTTTAAGAGTTATGCTGTGAACGCCCCTTCTCCTGAAATTATGTTTAAGTCAATCTCGACATTTGAACCATCTTCTTATAGTTCAAAATGATAAATCGTCTCTTTTAGAACTTAGACATATGTAATGAAATCTGAACTGATGAGGATAGAGACAATTCTAGAGGCTTCAACCAAAAGGAAAACTACTTGAAGGATACCAAATATATAAAATTAACATTTATATAGGCGACTTCAAGCAACTAATTATATACAAAAGCTTTGCTTTAGGGTATTTGAATTGTCCACTACGAGGTTCTAACAACTAAATTTGGATAGGCGGACAGCCAAGGAAACAGTTGATGGTTCCTTTTACTTTAAGGATATACTTGGTTAACCATTAAGATACAAGGAAAACTCAAATAAATGCTATAATTGATAGGTTTTCTACACAATAAGAAGGGACTAGCTCATAAACATAGCAGCTTGGCCTGCTTTAGATATGGTCAATAAGAAGTTCGGTAAAAAGAAAAGGAAGTTCAATTGAAATAATGTGTTTCCTTTTTTCAATATGTATTTCAATCTTCAGTATGGAAGTTTGGACATAAAGAGAATCCAATTAATGGCAAGAGTGTAGGGGGAATGGCCCTTCTAGCATCGTGCAATGAATTCATTAATAAAAGACCTCTGATTTCACCGAACTTGACAAATTGAGCCCTTCTGTGAGATACCAATAGCACGAAAGAAAACTCTACACAAGAGTTGATTAAGTTTTGTGGATTCTGTTTTCTTCGTCCTATACTGCAATCACCCATCTTCGCCTAGTGCATGGTGACACTCAACATGCTCAAACAGGTTCTTTTCTGAAAAAAATCCTTGCATGAGGGGGTAGCATGCCACTAGTAAACTACTGAAACTGCCAAATCACAGGTAGGGAAACTAGCAATTTCAAGTATCCCCATGATTTGTTAATGAAGTACAAACATAATCAAATAGAAGAATCAGAAATCACAAGAACTATTCAGGCATAACATAGGATGATTTACCAATTGTAAGGGAAAATTGAAGAGGAAAAAATGAGAAAGAGGAATGGCAATAAAGGGAATGGAAATCTAGTAAACCTGAAAAGAAAAAGGAAGAGTACCTTCAATGCAAAAGCCACAAAGAAGTGCAGCATCGAGGAATCCGAACTAAACTATATATATTGATGTTGTCGGTGGTGGTACACTGTTCTTTTTGTCTGATTCGCTGCTTTAACGTTTCTTTTGCATGAATCTTATCTTCAAGATCACCAATGGCCGACATGTCAGCATTGCTTTAGAAGTAAAACTGCCACGAAAATTTCCATAAGCAATAAGAATATTGAATACAAGATTTAGAAAGATAAATTAACTACTCCACAAAACTAATAATATTCTCTTAGAGCATGGAATCCAATGTCTTGGCAAACCATGGCTAATCCAGAAATGCCCGTATTGGCAATTAATAGTGTTTCCGAATATACAAATATTGTATCAAGACATCAATCAATCAATCAATCAACTATGCTTCAATGCCAAATTAACCAGATTCGGCCATATGTATACTCCATATCCACATTCTATTCAGATACATTTCATCCCAATTCTAAATAATCACAAATTAAGTTATGAATCTAAGTTGATATTTGTCACACTTGTAATCTCTTAAATAAAAGGGATACAAGGACATGTGGAAATACTCGCATGTACAGGAAACGGTATTTTATCCCCTTTTACTAAAAGCCACAAGGAATATGCTCAGACGAATAAGATAAAAAGTCAACAATAGTTGAAACAGTTATCTCCACTGCCTCAATCTCAATTTAGTTGGGGTCAACTATATGAATACTTTATATCTTCTTTTTCCTATTTTGAGAGTATGAATACTTTATATCCATTCAACTCTATCCAGGTCTATTTCACTCCAATATTAAATAACTATAAATTAACTTATCAACCTAAGTAGACATTTGTCATACTTGCAATCTCTTCAATAAAAAGGATACAAGAACATGATGAAATTCCAGCTTGTAAGAGAAATGGTAAAAGCATGCTCGCTCGAATAAGATAAACAGCAGGAGATAAATGAAAAGGTTTATCTCCGCTATCCTCTGTGTTCCCTTTTTTCTCCTCAAGAAAATTTGTTATGCAAAGATAAACAAGAGACAGAAAGAGAAAGTGGTTACCATACGCTTGGCAAGAGCGCACGAAGCGCTATCAACATGCAATTAATAATTAGTTCATTGACCAGTTTAGCAGACGTGGTGCATCCTTTACTCTTTTTCAGGCAGATGAGCAATTAAAAATATTCAAACAATAAATAGAAGACAAAGTGATTTTTCTTTAACAAATGTAAAGAGGGGGGAGGGCAAGCACGAGGTGTAGTGGGAATCAAACTCAATCAAAACAATCGAGCGACAATTGATTAGCGTTGAAGGTGAAAAAGTAGTTCCTTACTTCCTTTGTCCCAAGTTGATATGCTGTTTAATCTTCAGCATCTCCAAGCCCCTCTTCACAAATGGGATTTCATAGTAAAGAAACACTCGAATGTAGACAAGTATTGTTAGTTCAAATCCTTGCAAATTTGAATAACTAGAAAAACAATTACCAAGAATGTGCTGTTCATTAGGCTTACATTTCAGCAAAGCAGAAATGTTGCTACCAGTCTTACTATGGACCAAGGGAAAAATTCACCCTTATATTTCCAAAAAAGGAAACGGTGTGTCTACATTAACAATAAGTGCAATTATTGAAACGAAGTTTCATAAAAAGAATTATATCATTCTAGCAAATTTGGTTACAATTCAAATAACCTATCATTGAACTGTAACCAATATTAGATTCAACTAGAAGACGAGACATTGACATCTCATTATTATACATGCTGCTAATCTAAAATCTAAACATTAAATATACACGACCAAGCAACAAATGTGTTAAAGTAACAAGTTGAAAATGCATAAATTACCATACCACAATTGAAATTAATATATTAATGTCTCAGAAGTAGAGCCACAATATAAGGAATGTGTGCACGCAGCACTGCCTTAGGTTCAAACAACATATATGTGTGTAATGATTTAAAGAAAATGTTTAGCACCCACTATCCTTTGTATAATAGATCCGCCTTCAACGTCCTACAGTCTACTGTCAAGAAAACCAACAGATCGAGAAAATTTTCCTCAATAATTGCTTTCAGCTTTACAATAAATTATTCTGTTTCAATTTTCAAAGCAAAAGATAACCCGGCAGGAAAAGAATTAGGCATCCAAAGCCAGCATGCGCAGGGCAAAGCCATAAAATGAAACTCTGTGTCAATGATAAAGGAAAGCGTGATAATTATTGAAACAAACTCCATAAACGAATGATATCAATCTAGCAAATTTTGATTGTAATTCATATAACCATCTCATCCAACACTAATCAATATCGAATTCAACGAGAAGACTAGACATTGACATCTCATCAGACCATTCACATTCACAATGTAACAATAGATGGTTGGCTGTTTCCACATTTGTTTCACAAAGGAAGATACATGGCCAAGTAACTAAAGTGTTTGAAGTAATAAATTGAAAATGCATAAACTGCTACACGAAATTTGAAATGAACATACAAACGTCTCGGTTGTGGAACCAGTATATAAGCAGTAGGTGCACGTGCACCACTACCTCGAGCTCCAATAATATAGATAATCCAAAGACAATTTTTATAAAACACATTATATATTAAGTGGTGCTACTTTCATATACTAGATCAGCCTCTAACATCTCATAGCTATCTCACAGTTTCCTGAGAAGAAAACAAAACTACCAATACAAATTGAAAATGCATAAACTGCCCCACCATATTTGAAATTAGCATACAAGCATCTTGGTATCGGAACCACCATATAGCAGTGGGTGCACGTGCACCACTGCCTCGAGCTCGAACAATGTAGATAATTTAAGGACAATTTTTTATAAAATGCACACACAGACACAAACTAGCATTGTCCCCATATAATATAAAGTAGTCTGTCTATTAAGACTTAAAATAGAAAGAAATTACCTAAGCTTTTTTGCTGGGATTGGAACATTGATCTTGCATAATTTTGATTTTAGTTTTATCAACAACTAAGACACATCAGTGACTCCAGATAGACTTGAGAGAAATCTGGGACTAACACTTGGAAACCCCAAATCATAAGGGGAAAAAGATTGGATTTTTACAACGATGAGAGCCAAAGGCAAGAGCAGAAATATAATGCAGCAATGGAGCACTGGCGTCGCCATCCTGTTTCCAATCTCCGGCATAATTAGCGAAAAATTGAATTTTGAGTTTCAATCGGAAAATACCTGGTTACGCACCAAAACAACGTTTATACTTGTTATTAAGGTGCAGACTGCAGTTAATTAATCATCTCCGAAATACAGAATGCTACGGCTAAACATTCTTATTTCCAATTTCAATTCAAACATGAATTTCAGTACGTGATCACTAAACTTTACCTAAGTTACAAATTTATCTTTATCAATTTATCTTTATCACATTAAAATAATTGAATTTTACGTAACATAAGTTATAGTCACAAGACTATTTTTCTTAGATACTTAAAGTAATTAAACTTTACATACCATAACGGTAAAGTTATAAAAGTTACAAAACCTTAACATGATAACTAGATTATGTATGGATAATAACGTTTAAGACTTTATTGTATAGTTGATAAAGTTTATTCATTTTAATAATACAATAACAAATTCAGTGTAGTATCACAAGTTAGGGCCGAAGAAGGTAGTGTGTACGCGTACTGATCACGGCCAATTATGCATCCTAAGAGGTCTAGCGGTCGTTGCAAATATAATCCGATTTACAAGTCCGGAGTCGAATCCCACATGGAATTAACCTACTAATTACAACCACTAGATTCACACGAATTCAAGTAACCAACCTTCGAAAATATTAAATAATGGTTTGAGTGTTTATTAACTAAAGGCAAGGTAATTAAAAAGCTGTAATTTTAATACTAACAAGGCAAATGTTGTAGACAAGATTGGAAAGGTCTAGGGTTACGATTTTCCCTCTCGTCGGAATCCTCCCCGCCACGTCTCATATAAATTCGCCTAGATATTCTCTACCGATCGTGAGCACTTTGGGTGTCGTAATTCTCTTCCGAGCAAATACAACAATTTACTAGACGTATTCTTCCGAACTACGCTACCTGGCACTAGTTTACCGCTCACTAAGATCGCACCAAGGTTTCGTTATTCCTAATCCCACCTTTAAACCCTCCGTATTGATTCCTCATATACGTTAGGAGTGATGTTGGTCAACAACTACCTAAATGTATACCCTTTTCTAAGCAATACACACTAAATAGGCACAGTCAATTGAGGGTCATTCAATCAACCACAATAATCATATAGTTGAACAAGTAGAGAAAAGTAAATGGCAAATTCATATTAAACGCAGTAAAAAAGTCATCTTTCAAGAGGTTCCATCAAACCCTAAACAGGAAGGTTTAGCTACCCATAACTATACTAACAATCATAATAATAATTGAAAGCATTAAAATACATATTAAGGAAGAATGGAAGAGAAAAAACTCTTGTGATTCGATGCTTCTAAGTGTTCCCGTCGCCTTTTTCCTCCCCAATAATGTATATCCCCCAAGAAATAGGTTTAGAACCCCTTTTATAGATATTGGGGGCATGTAGGGTTGAAACTACTAAGTCCTAGCCAAAATAGAACGAAATCCGCCTTAGCCGTCTCGCTTGGCGCCTTGCACCAATCAGGACGCCGAAATTTTTCACTATTCTGCCTTTGGCGTTTTGGTTGGTGCCTGGCACCAACCTGGGCACCAAACTCATACTCCCTCCAAATTCTTCCGTGTTTACTTCACTTTGCATGCAAGCTTGCCAAATCACTTCAAATTGACTCCTACACATATAAACATCATTGTCACACTTCTTTTATACCCCACAAAATATATATATTTTATGGATTGTGGGTTAAAGAGTTTCTCCAATTAAAGTGACAAACTTGAATAGGGATTATTTTATTTACAGAGTCGCCACTTGAAATTGATTTTTTGGGTGTTCCAGGTCACCTTTTATTTGAATCCCTAGTCAAAGGAAGATTTAACTCTATTATTATTGGTCTGCAAAAATAAAGTTCGGGTAAGGAATTATGTTGACCGGGGAGAATGTGTAAGGCATTCCCCGAGTCTCGTGGTTCTAGCACGATCGCTTAATTGACTACAACTTGGCTTGAATTAATTTTGAATAAACTGTGATTTATTGATTTCCATGTTTTACCTATGTCTGCTTTTATTGCTTGATTAGATTTATGGAAATTATTTTGAAACGAACCACGTGTCTGTGAATCCATTTTATTTAGTGTGCTAAAATCATGTCACGTGTACACGATTAATAACTTATTGAAACAATTTCATCTACAATAATCCCAAATCAATTATAAATCATAACTTATTCAACTTCTAAAAAATCAAATTAACTAACAGCCTATTCATGTCATTGGTCAATAAACAATTAACATTAGTAGTTGAAGCAAAATGCTATGAGCATCCACTAAACCCCTCCAAATATGCATTTGAAAGCTTAAACAAGCAGAAGCTATTCATTAACTGGACAAACAATCAAACAACAAAGCTTGAGGTATTTAGTGGATTAAATACACATAATGGAATTGAAATGCACCTTGGAGAATTTCTTTTCCAAAATTGATTGAAAACCTTCAGCAAGCAAAAATGCAGAGGGAACCGAAGCCCGACAACGCGCCGGCACCGGAAACGAGAACAGGACCTTGACCCGAAAACTTCTAACTCGAACGAAGTTTCAGAAAACTTCACTCGATCTATTCCATTTTGGTTAAGATCCGCTGGATTTCGGAGAGGAAACGTTGTTGGTTTCAAGGCGATTTCATGGCTGATTTTTGCTGGATTTTAGGCTAGAAAACAGAGCGAGTTTTGAATGATCTTTGGACAAAGTTTCACTACTTATTTTGGTGGAAAAAAGGTGGAGTGTTTGGCATTGAGCTCGACTGAAAATTGTTGCTGCTACATGGCATCGTCTTGGGGCTGGTTGAGTTCATTTTGAAAGGAGAAAAACTGCTCGTTTTGGTGGTTGTTCAGGGGTGTTGCAACTGGGATTTGGTGCCAATTTTGAGATGTTTTCGTTGAGGAAAAAGGCTGTTTTTGGAGCTGCATTTTGGTGGGGGTTTAACGGAGGTGTTTTTTGTGGAAGAAGATGGAGTTTGGTTAGAAAGAAGAAGAGGAAAGGAGCTCCATTTTCGTTCCCTCTGTCTTTCTCTTTTTTGTGTGTTATGTGTGTGTTTTAATGGCTGAAAATGAGGTATGGGGTTTGTGAGTGGGGGACAAGAATGGGGACAAGCGCGGGGACAAGGAAAAGTGGAGTGGGAAAGATGAAGTGAAAAGTGAGATGAGTGGGAAAAAATTTAAACACGTTCAAAAATTAGGTGCTCACAGCATGCCCCTCTTTGTTTGAAAACATGAAAAGTTTTCAGGCAAAGAAAAGATGAGCGATATGACTAATTTTTGGTCATACCATTATTCAAAAGGGAAGAAAATAAAAGATAGGGTGCAACCGAGTCCTGGTTTAGATAGCCTACATATCCCGGGTTATAGGGGAATCAGGTCGCGTGTAGTTCAAGAAAAGTGATGGAATGATGAGTTGGAGAGTCGAGTGAGGTTCCGTTGAGGCTCCGTGATCGTGCTATTACATCAAAATCAAAAGAAACTAAACAAGCCTATCAACTCTGAGTTACAAGATTCCTATCTATAAGTCTTTTGAAGTTTGATCATGAGTCTTGACAGGTTGTTCATGCAGACTCTGATCTGAACCTTGATGCTTGCTAGCTGTAGGTGCTAGTTTATTCTTCTACGGCTTCTTCTGAGCAAAACGAGAAATGTAAAGCTCGTATCTTCAGTCATGTCTTGAGCAATCCATATCCTTTCCATTTGCTTCTGCATTTGGATTCACTTCTTTTCCTTTTCTTTTCTTTATTCTGGATTGAGAAATCTTCTTTTGGTCATCTCGAACCATGTTCCTCAAGATACAACCTACTCAGACACCAAAACAAACAAACGAATGAAATTTTCTGCCTCAGTTTTCACTAGGAAAATTTCGTGACTTATTGTAACAAAATTCTAAACAACTTCTTTATTGAAAGCAATAAAAAATCGGGAATGGTGTACCCTGAAAAGATCATGTTGAGAAAATGTGGCCAGGAATGGTATACCCTATATTGGTAATGATATCAGAGAGTGGTACACCCTGCATTTAAGATCAAATGAACTAGGGAATGGTGTACCTTATGTTGGAGAACACAGTTAGGGATTGGTGTACCCTATACTGGTAAGGAAATGTTACCAGAGGTTAGCGCCATGTATTACTGAAAAGGAAATGTAACCAGGGGTTGGCGCCCTGTATAACTGAAAAGGAAATGTAACCAGGGGTTGGCGCCCTGTATTACTGGAAAGGAAAATGTAACCAGGGATACTTATACCCGGAATATGAGCTGGATTCCCCTAGGCGAAAAGGTTCTACCTGGGTTAAGCTACGAAAAACAAGCCTGGGCGAAGAGTACTTCTACCCGAAAATATGAACTGGATCCCTCTAGGCAAATAGGTTCTACCTGGGTTAAGCTACGAAAACCAATCTAGGCGAAGAGTACTTCTACCAAGAAATAGAAGTTGGATCCCCCTAAGCGAAAAGGTTCTACCTGGGTCAAGCTACAAAAAATAACCTGAGCGAAGAGTAATTCTACCCGAAAACTATGAGCTGGATCCCCCTAGGCGAAAAGATTCTACCTGGGTTAAGCTACGAAAAACAGCATGGGCGAAGAGTACTTTTACCCAGAACTATGAGCTGGATCCCCTAGGCGAAAAGGTTCTACCTGGGTTAGGCTACGTGAAATCAATCTAGGAGAAGAGTACTTCTACCCGAAAATATGAGCTGGATCCCTCTAGGCGAAAAGGTTCTACCTGGGTTAAGCTACGTAAAACATCGTGAGCGAATAGTACTTCTACCCAGAACTATGAGCTGGATCCACCTAGGCGAAAAGGTTCTACCTAGGTTAAGCTACGTAAAACAACCTGAACGAAGAGTACTTCTACCCGGAACTATGAGCTGGAACCCCCTAGGCGAAAAGGTTCTACCTGGGTTAAGCTACGTAAAATATCCTGAGCGAAGAGTAATTCTACTCGGAGCTATGTGCTGGATCTCCCTAGGCGAAGAGGTTCTACCTGGGTTAAGCTACGAAAAATAGCCCGGGCGAAGAGTATTTCTACCCGGAACTATGAGCAGGATGAGCGAAGAGTAGTTCTACTTGGAGCTGTGAGCTGGATCCCCCTAGACGAAAAGGTTCTACTTGGGTTAAGCTAAGAAAAACATTCTGGGCGAGGAGTACTTCTACCCAAAACTATGAGTTGGATCCCCCTAGGCTAAA